AGGGAGCCTGATGTGGGACTCGATCCCGGGACTCCAGGATCATGACCTGAGCCGAAGGCAGTCGCTTAACCAACTGAGCCACCCAGGCGCCCACATGAACCCTTTCTTTCTATTTCACTGTCACCAGTCTGTGACCCTAATTATCCCATGCCAGGCCATTACATTAGTCTCTCATCCATTATATAAGACCTCTGGTTTTTTTCTGCTTACTTTATCTTAGCAAGCTGTTGCCAGATTTCCTTGGAATCCTCACTGGCTTCCTGTGTCTAAGTAGTGGTTTTTAAAGTATGGTCTGTGGAACCCTAGAACCCAAGGATCCCCCTGATCTGTTAGGTTAAAACTATTTTCACAATAAACTTGCCCTTTTTAAAAAAAAAAACTGTATGGACTTTGGCACTGGTGATGGAAAAGCAATTATGAGTAGACCCACTGAGGCAGTAGTAGTAAGATCAAGGAGGTGACTCCAAACTATCAATAGTCATTGCATTCTCCTCCGCCACACACAGGAGGGGCAAACAGATAGTTTTCAGAAAATCCTGGGGAACTCAGCGAAAGTCCTTAATTTTATTGACTCTCAACCCTAGAGTTCACATCTTTTTAACATTCTGTCTGATGACATGGAGAAGCACCCATGAGCTGCATACTGAAGTATGACAGCTATCACAACAGAAAGCATTTTGTGCAAATGGCTGAACTTGCCTCTTGTTTTCATGGAACACCGCTTTTACTTTGAAACAACAACTGAAAGACTATAGTTCTTTGGTTTTGACTATTTGGCAGACATTTTCTGGAAAAAGAAAGACATAAAGCTCTCATTTAAGGAGAAAAAGCCAACAGTATTTATTGCTAATGATAAAATTCAAGACAAAAAATGCTTGATAGCTTCCCAGTAAAGACTTCTGTGGTAAGGTCAAGACTTTTCTGAAGATTAATGAATACGATTTTTTGATACTACATAATGAAAAGTGCCATAATTTGGAAAATCTGCAAAACTAACCCAGTGTTTTGGAAATGATCAGTGTATGATGTTAAAAACTCATGCATATGGGTAAAAAAAATCCATTCAAAGATAGGGTACACCAATGATTTTTAATGTAACAGAGTATGAAAAGTTCATTGCTGTGGTGTCAGATTCCACATTTTACTCACTTTTACGAAGTATCCTCTTGTCAGGCTTTGGTATAGTATTAAAAAAGATGATCCACAGTTATCTAAAAATGCTATTAAAATACCCTTCCCTTCCAACTGCATGTCTGTGTGAGCCCAGGGTTTCTCCATATACTTCAACCAAACAACATGAAGCAATAGATGCAATGCTGAAACAAATATAAGAACCCAGTCATCTTCTATTCAGCCAGACTTCAAAAAAGAGATTTCCAAAACTTAAAACAGCATCACTCCTCTCACTTATTTTTGTTTGTTTGTTTTGGATAATAGTTACATTTCATTAAAAATATGTTATGTGTATTAATATGCAGTAGGTTTCTTACCATTAAATAACTATTTTTAAAAAATTTCTCAGTTTTAATTTCTAATATGGTAAATATTGATAAATATGGCCCATACAAATAAAAAGTCTTTGAAGTCGTCAATAATTTTAAGAGTTTAAAGGGACCCTAAGATCAAAAGAAATTTGAGAATTACTAGTCCCCACATGATAATAGCCAGTCTTAGAGAAGTGCTTTCCAAAGGGATCCAGTGAGTAACTTCTGATGCTTTTTTTTTTTTTTTTTAAGATTTTATTTATTTATTTGAGAGAGAGCAGGAGAAAAAGCATGGGCAGGGGGGTGGGGTAGAGAGAGACGGAGGAGCAGGCTCCTCACTGAGCAGGGAGCTGACGCAGGACTCAATCCCAGAACCCTGGAATCATGACCTGACCTGAAGGCAGACGCTTAACCGACTGAGCCACCCAGGCGCCCACCTCTGATGCTTTTTAGTGTTTATAAAATTATTCAATATTTGTAGTAAAGCCAGCATCCAATGCCCTTAGGAGCTTTATAGGACTGGGACAATGGAAAGCTAAATTTTTTTTTCCAGTTTTGCTATTAAGATTCTTATTTGTAATTCTGTTATCCTTTTCTTTAATAAATTTTAGACACTAAATGTAATTGGAAGTCAAAAGTTCGAAGTATGTTACTAGAGCTGAGAGGGAAAGAGAGAGAGAGATTGATATTGATTGATTGATTGATTGACTGATTGAGGGGTAGTATTGGTAAGATGAGCCTGTCCTGTGGTAATATAATATAATCTTAGTATATAGGCTTTACAAGTGTACTGTTAAATCTTGATGTAAACATGGAAACAAGGACATGATAGAATGAATGAGTTAAATCTATAGGTTATTTTAGAATCTTATTTTATCTTGTTATTTAAAATGCCTTTTAAACCTTAATCCACCAGAAGTGCTTAAAAGAACCCCCCAAAATCACTTATTCTAACTTCTCTCATGTTTTCTTCCTTGGTATACATTCATACAAAGTGATCAAAAAAGTGGGTATTAGATAATAAATGTGAAACTGTAAAATTTATAACATGGCTAACCAATCTCATCTTTTAGACAGAATATTTATTTATTTATTTTTTAAATACAGTGGTATTGCTCCCTACTTCATTCTACCTTTAGCACTGGGGAGGAATAGTTTGGGGTCCCAGAATGCTGTATGAGACACTCTCGTTTCACAATATCACAAAGAAACCAACAACAAAGCCCAGGTTGAAGGAAGGGAGAACATGAGACAGTGAGACTTTAGGAGAATTACTTAGGATGACACAGGGAAGGGAATTTAGGCTTTCTTAAATTCAGTGTTGATACAGATTTCTGTTTGGTCAGGAAACCTGAGTTATACTATAAATATAGTATCTTATGTTCTAATTTTATTGGACAGAGCCTATCAGTGTCTTCTTGCTTAGTATAGATCCTAAGATTACTGTTCAAATTAAATTACAGTGGGCAGCTTAGGTCACCCATGGCTAACTTACGTAAGCAGGTTAGTCATTTGAATGAAAACTTGTCTAGGCCACAAAACCACCACATTTCCACATAAAGTAGGTGCATCCCTCTCTGTTGAAGTGGAGTTGCTATTTGACTCTAAAAATAGGCCTGCATTGTGGTAAAAATCGAACCCATTTGTTTGTCCAAATCATGTGAAGAAAATCAGCTTTTAAGTACAGGCAAGAATCTTCTGTATGTGTCAGAAAGGATTAAGAGTCACCTCGTTTCAAGCTTTTTGTGATAATTTCAGGACATTTTGAAGTCTAAAGAAAACTTTAATTTTAGGTGCTTTTTTTTTTTTAAGATTTTTTTTTTATTTATTTGACAGAGAGAGACACAGCGAGAGAAGGAACACAAGCAGCGGGAGGGGGAGAGGGAGAAGCAGGCTTCCCGCCGAGCAGGGAGCCCGATGCGGGACTCGATACCAGGCCCCTGGGACCATGACCTGAGCTGAAGGCAGACACTTAACGACTGAGCCACCCAGGTGCCCCTTTAGGTACTCTTTTAGAATACAAGGGGAGACTTGAGGGTAGGGAAGAGAGTTTGTGGACTGGAGAAGCTATAGATGTACTTCTGTGCACAGTGCAGAGGAGACAGACCCAGAACAATGAGGGAGGATAAAGGAAAGCAGTGAACTAAGAATTAGTAGCATGTCCAGCCAAGCCCCAGTAACATGGGTTCTGTGACTGAGTTATTTGTAGGGTAGTTGATAAGCTCCCCTAAATATGCAGAGCAACAAGTTCAGATTTTTAGAGAGCAAAGGAAGTTAAGCCAGGAGGAGCAATGAAAATAACAAGGCGATGCAAAAGGAGAGACCTACACCTAAGTGCCCTAGTTACGGACTTGTTTGTTTCTGACAGAATTCCAGCTATCCCTTTGCTTGTTTGGGTGATTATCATATAAAATATCTAGGACATTATTTGTATTTCCTCAAAGCCAGTAGCAGCAATGCCTATCGTCCTGTGATAAAGAGTCTTGTAGAAAGTAATAGTAACGAAAACACTCATGTAATAGGTCAAATGTGCTTATTTATGATTTACAACTCTCCTGCCCTCATCATAGGTGTTTGTTTTCTAATTTCTCTGGTTTGAGATGCTCCTCTAGCATAATAACTACATTGTAATAAATAATGTCTTTAAAATCATCCCTTCAGTATATTCCTGACAGGAATGAGTCCTTCGTGGCTAAAGAACTTTTAATATTCAACTGTCATAAAAGCCTTCTTTAGCGGATCTAATGTGTAGTTTTGATTAAGATGTGTTGCAAGTTTTATAGCAGCCTAAATGAGTAAACAGTTCATATCAATAAAATTTAAAGTAACAAAGTAAGAGTAACCACTTGGTATTTAATAGGGAAATGAGACATTTGAGAAGAGTCAGACATTTAGCTCTGATGTGTACCTCCACCTCTAAGAGACCTGATGGTAATATATTTAGATCTTGCCTTGAGGAAGTTGCTTTCTGTGTTTTTAAGATCTTACTGGCCTCTAGTGGTAATATGATGCTATAGTTTAAATATTTTTAATTTTTGCGCGTGACTAGAAATAAAGCCATTTTGAAGACACTGGCTGATAATAGCTTCATTCTTTGTCTGGGAGGTCAGCAGTACTCTCAAAGTGTACGTACAACGTCGTCCTCCTGAAGACGAGAGGCTCTCTCTTTTGTTCTTGTCTCTGAGTCATCCCCACCTCTTTATTTTGAATGATGTTAGTTTAGCTGTGAAGCAACCTCCCATTGTTTTAGTACATGTACAGTGGTGATTACTGTGTCAGGTTTGTGCCAACAATTCTTTCTGGGTTTCAGCCTTTTCTTCAGACTAAAGCACCAATTTTCCCCTCTGTTTATAATAGTTTATTTTCTTCAAAGGAGGTTAAGTTTTCAACTTAGCATTTAGGTTCATGTTTAAAACTATTTAATTCAATTTTGAAGAATTTTACATTTGAAATACTAGTCTACTAAGTAAGCATGATACTGATTTCTCCCTTTTGTTTTTCATATTTGTCACTCAGATGTCAAGGGGCCACCTACCCACCGTCTGTCTTGTGGCCAGTCACCCTACACAGAGACCACAACATGGGAGCGGAAGTATTGCATCCTCACAGACAGCCAGTTGGTGTTGCTCAACAAGGAGAAGGAGGTGAGATGGATATTTCTGAGGAAAGCTACTTCTCTTTCTTTTTTAAGAGATTTTATTTATTTATTTGACAGAGAGAGAGAGAGACAGCGAGAGAGGGAACACAAGCAGGGGGAGTGGGAGAGGGAGAAGCAGGCTTCCCGTGGAGCAGGGAGCCCAATGTGGGGCTCGATCCCAGGACCCTGGGACCATGACCTGAGCCGAAGGCAGATGCTTAACAACTGAGCCACTCAGGCACCCCGCTACTTCTCTTTCTGACCAGATTCCTGAAAGCTAGTTTTTATTTGCATTTTGTTATGAGACATTTATAGAAATGGAGGCTGTATGAATGATAAATTATAAGTACAGGCATACCTCCTTCTATTGAACCTCACTTTATTGCACTTGGCAGATACCACATTTTAACAATTTGAGGGTTTGTGGCAAGCCTGTGCTGAGCAAGTCTGTTGGCGCCATATCTCCAGTAGCATATGCTCATTTCGTGTCTCTGTGTCACATTTTGGTAATTATCACTTCAAGCTTCTCCATTATTATTGTATTTGTTATGGTGATCTATGATCAGTGATCTTTGATTGATGTTACTGTTGTAATCATTTTGAGGCACCATGAACCGTACCCATCTAAAACGGTGAACTTAATTGATAAATGTGTATGTTTTGACTGCTCCACCGACAGCTGCCCCCATCTCTCTCCCTCTTCTCTAGCCTGTCTGAGATTCCCTGAGACACAACAATATCGAAATAGGCCAGTTAATAACCTTACAATGGCCTCTAAGTGTTCCAAGTGAAAGGAGGACTCTCACATCTCTCACTCTAAATCAAAAGCTAGAAATGAGTAAGCTTAGTGAGGGAGGCATGTTGAATGCCAAGTGAGGCTGAAAGCTAGGCCTCTTAAAGAAAAGTTCTTGAAGGAAATTAAAAGTGCTACTCCAGTGAACACAGGAGTGATAAGAAAGTGGAACAGCCTTATTGCTGAGAAAGAGCAAGTTTCAGTGGTCTGGATAGAGGATCAAACCAGCCACAACATTTCCTTCAGCCAGAGCCTATTCCAGAGCAAGGCCCTAACTCTCTTCAATTCTGTGAAGGCTGAGAGAGGTGAGGAAGCTGCAGAAGAAAACTGGAAGCCAGCACAGGTTGGTTCATGAGGCTTAAGGAAGGAAAGAAGCCACCTCCAGTACATGAAAGCTCAAGGTGAAGCAGCAGGTGCTGATGCAGAAGCTGCAGCAAGTTCTCCAGCAGATCTAGCTAAGATCATTCCTGAAGGTGGCTACCCGACACAACAGATTTTCAGGGTAGACGAACAGCCTTCCGTTGGATGAAGACGCCACCTAGCACTTTCAGAGCTAGAGAGGACAAGTCAGTCCTGGCTTCAAAGTTTCCAAGGACAGGCTGACTCTCTTGTCAGGGGCTCATGCAGCTGGTGACTTGAAGTTGTAGCCAGTGCTCATTTCCCATTACGAAAACCCTAGGGCCCATAAGAATCATGCTAATTCTACTCTGCCTGTGCTCTAGAAATGAAACAACAAAGCCCGGATCACAGCACATCTGTTTACTACACGGTTTCCTGAAATATTTTAATCCCACTGTTGAGATGTCCTGCTCAGGAAAGAAGATTCCTTTCAAAGTATGACTGCTCACTGACAATGCACCTGGTCCCCCAAGAATCCTAATGGGGAGGTATATCAAGATTCATGTTGTTTTAATTAACGCAGTGTCCATTCTGCAGCTCATGGAAGACAGAGTAATTTTGACCTTCAAGTCTTATTCTTTAAGAAATACATTTCATGGGTGGCTCAGTCAGTTCAGCGACTGACTCTTGATATCGGCTCAGGTTATAGTCTTAGGGTCATGAGATCCAGCCTCAATGCCTAGCACAGAGCCTGCTTAAGATTCTTTCTCCTTTGGGCGCCTGGGTGGCTCAGTTGGTTAAGCGACTGCCTTCGGCTCGGGTCATGATCCTGGAGTCCCAGGATCGAGTGCTGCATCGGGCTCCCTGCTCGGCAGGGAGTCTGCTTCTCCCTCTGACCCTCCCCCCTCTCATGCTCTCTCTATCTCATTCTCTCTCAAATAAATAAATAAAATCTTTAAAAAAAAAGATTCTTTTTCCTTCTTCCTCTGCCCCTTCCCCCACCTGTGTGTGTGCTCGTGCTCTCTCTCTCTCAAAAAAAAAAAAAAACAAACTCAAAAACTACATTTCATAAGGCTATAGCTGCCAAAGATGGATCTGTGCAAAGTAAATTGAAAACCTTCTGGAAAGGATTCACCGTTCTAGATGCCTTTAAGAATGCCTGTGATTCATGGATGGGAACAGGTCAAAATATCCACATTAACAGGAGTTGGGGGACAAAGCTGATTCGAACTCTCATGGATGACTCAGGGATTCAAGGCTTCAGAGGAGAAAGCAACTGTGGATGTCATCGAAATAACAAGAGAACTAGACTCGGAAGCGGAGCCTGAAGATGGGACTGAAGTGCTGCAATCCCATGGTAAAACTTGAATGGATGAGGAGTCCTTCTTGGGGATAAGCAAAGAAAGTGGTTTCTTGAGATGGGATCTACTCCTGATGAAGATGCTGTGAAGACTGTTGAAATGACTACATAGGATTTAGAATATTATATAAACGTAGTTGATAAAGCAACAGCAGGGTTTGAAGGGACTGACCCCAAGTTTAAAAAGTTCTACTGTGGGGCACCTGGGTGGCTCAGTCAGATAAGCGTCTGCCTTCGGCTCAGGTCATGATCCTGGAGTCCCGGGATGGAGTCCCAGGATCGAGTCCCACATCAGGCTTCCTGCTCGGCGGGGAGTCTGCTTCTCCCTCTGATCCCTCCCCCCTCATGTGCTCTCTCTCTCTCTCTCTCTCATTCTCTCTCTCTCAAATAAATAAAATCTTTAAAAAAAAAAGTTCTACTGTGGGTAAAATGCTATCAAACAGCATTGAATGCGACAGAGAAATTGAGAAAGGAAGAGTCCGTTGATGTGGCAAACTTCATTGTTGTCTTACTTTAAGAAATTGCCACAGCCACCCCATCCTTCAGCAACCCCCACCCTGATCAGTCAGCAGCCATCAACATCGAGGCAAGACCCTCCACCAGCAAAAAGATTATGACTCCCTGAAAGCTCAGAGGATGGCTAGCATTATTTGGTAATGAAGTTTTTTAAAATTGAGGTATGTACATTGTTTTTTAGACATACTGTTATTGCACATTTAATAGACTACAGTAGAACGTAAACACAACTTTTATGTGCACTGGAAATCCAAAAAACCCATTAGACTCACTTTGTTGTGGTGGTCTGGAACTGAACCTGAAATGTCTCTGAGGTATGCCTGTAAGTCTAACGGGTTGCTCGTGTCATGATGATATCCAGTTCTCATGAAGGAGCGAGTTCAACAAGATAGGGTTGGATTTTCACTGAGGAACAGTGAAATAGATATTGAGTTGAGTATTTTGGAATGAGAACAGATTGGATTTGGTAGACCTGGCTCCAAAAATTGCTTGGAAGGGCTATGGGACGTGATGTCCGTGTAGCTACTGTAACAGATGGCACTCTCAGGGATTCACTGAGAGAGGTTTAATGAAGGGACTATTGACAGAGACATGGACAGCATAAGGGACCCACCAAAGAGTGTGAAGCACCATGAACTAGTAACAGCAGAAATCTTGTTATCACCCTAGACTTTCAGGGCCAAGAAGGGAGCGGTGCTTCTGGAAACCAGAGGATGGGTTGCACGAGAGGGCTGCTTGGCAGTTAGTGTAGCATTACCCAGAAGAGCACGGCTTCTGCCCAAACAAAGATGGGCAGCAGGGAGGAAGCAAAGGAGAAGAAACCCTCCAGCTCTTTTCTTGCCTTCTGATTTCTTGCCAGTTGTTACCTACTAGCCAGATGTAACTTGAAGCCAGAGGAAAACAAGATTGCTCTTGCACCAAAGGGAGAGAAGGGCTGCAGGTACATCTGGAGAGGTTGGCAGAATGTAGTTAGCCCGGCATCGAGCTCTAGGTGAACTCTTTGTCCTTCTAAATGAAGAAAAACCCTTGAGCTTATCATATACTATTTACTACTTTACTCAAACTGTGACAGTGTACAAGTCCTTCCACATCCAAATAACTCATCTGCTTATTGCTGATCTGTCAGAGAGTTGAGATCATTCTGATTTGGTAGGTCCATAACCCCGCTTTACCCCCTACCTCCACAGCATAAACAATATGTTCTTGACAAAGAAGAGGGATTAATGAGAGGGGAGGAGAAGAAAAGATCTGGCTCAACAAAGGACAAAGATTACTTGCCAAAAATAGAGGTAAATACCTAAAAAGCTGTAGATAAAATACCAGTTTAGTAAGTCATCCTTCCTGGGAAGTGAGTTCAGGGGCAGCAGTGAACAGCAAATACGTTTCTCAGCTCTCGGCTGTGGCTCCCTATCTCCCTTTTCTCTTCTCCTCGTCTCTGTCCCTTTTCTTTTCTATCCCTTCTCTTACTCAGCAGTCTTTAATATAGTAAAGCCAAGGTAATAACAAGAAAAGAATTTTAGTTTCTTTATTTTAGTTCTTTTTTTTTTTTTTTAAGATTTTATTTATTTGACAGGGAGAGAGGGAACACAAGCAGGGTGAGTGGGAGAGGGAGAAGCCAGCTTCCTGCTGAGCAGGGAGCCCGATGCGGGCCTTCATCCCAAGACCCTGGGATCATGACCCAAGCTGAAGGCAGACACTTAACAACTGAGCCCCCCAGGCGCCCCTCTTTTATTTTAATTCTTACTTCCGAGGGCCTAGCTCAGGTGCTCTTTATGATGCTTATTCTTTTTTTCCATCTATTGAAAAATCTGCCTTGCTTTTGTTACCATCTCCCTACCCATGACCCTTTTCCAGTATTTTAATATTATTAAGTTTTATTTTATTAAAATAATGTAATAAAGGTCAGCCTTTTCTGGGAGAGTCTAGTACATGTTGCTGTGTTTATATTAAGTTAAAACATAATAAAAATTGGTGGAGTGAATATTAGTATAGAAGATTT